AGATAATATCCTAGGGAAGGCTTTTATAAAAATTAGAACTTTTGTAATGAACATGATATCTGAAATTAATAATTTAGCAGTACAAGAAGGGAACTAGCATGGTTTGGGTACTTTTATTGATCAGTCAGTCCAGAGTAAGAAGGCATTTTAGACAAAGCTATTATAATCAATAATTTCTGTAACAAGAGCATTTATTTTGATGGCAGTGCTTTCCTCTCCTTGAAGGGAAATTTTTATTATTATGGTTTTCTTCAAAAGGAAAAAATTTCAACATTTGAGTCAACTTAATAAATGAAAATGAATAAAGTATTCAGATCTAAAAAATTTCTTTATGGCATCATTCATTTGAATCTCTCATTGTTACTTTCACCATCACCACTAGCACCAGAATTTTCCAGTGTTAGTTCTGCATTTCTGTACCAGTTTGACATCCAAAATAAGTCATTACTCATCAATCTCTCTAGTTTCTCCAAGTCATACAACTCGTTTCACTCTATAAATCTGTTAACAGCTGACTCTGCTATACATTTTCTACTGTAGGAAGTCTCAGATACTGAGCATTTAAAAGCAAGTCTTGCTAAGTCGTAGTCCAGGAGTTTTTCAAGTTAAGAAGGAATAAAAAGTCAAATTTTACATTCTTGTTTTTGTGAGCAGCAAAGCTTTCCACTAGTCACATTTCTGTGGGTAGTGCAAATTGTAATTGTGAATGATTACCAGGGGAGAAAGATAAAATGCACATGCATGTCTCAGAGAAATATATCATGTTTTCATGTAATGAGGTCAGAGACAGAATCTTCAAAGTCGTTTTGTTTTTGGAAGTATTTCTCAAAAAATGTTATTCTTTCTGTCAAGTTAATAGATTGACAGAATATGATTTGTTTGTGGTCAGCATCAGCATATTCATTCAGTTAGAGAAAAGGAAGATTTGTGTATTCGATATGTCCATTTGGCGTCTTCATGGGATTCCTAGAAAGATTATCCAAATATATTGAAGATAAAAATAAAACCCCCATGAAAATAATTTCTTATAGCATTTATGGCAGCCAGCAACCAATATTGGCTAAATAGAGAAATTTAAAAATGATATGTTATGAGAAAAATTTAATCAGCAAAATATTCCCAATAGAGAGGAGTTTTTTAATTTGAAAGAGGTCATTTAATTTCAATCTTCGCAGACATTGGAAGTAAAAATAAAGGTGTAGGCTATGCAGGTCTCTCCTGTCCTTTTAGTTTTGTATTGCTTGTGTGACATTATTATAACTAAAAGCTGAAGCCTGTTTCCTGTTCCTAATATGGGAAATGCTTTGATAATTTTAAGCAGCTAAAATTTGCATTGTACTCATAAGTATTGTTTTTGATTTCTCATTCTATTTAACTCACAATCTGAATTTTGTAGGTCTATGTCCGTATGTATTTAAGAGAGGAAGGTGATGCCTGTGTGCCTTTTCATGCTAAAATATTTGAGTTATAGACCTACTCACACTTGTAATTAAAAAGAAGTGTAGGAAAAAAGAAATTAAGGTACACCTTATCCTAAAATGGCCACCACTGCTGCTGGTGTCATGCATTTAATGATGCTAATGTAGCCTTTGAAAAACCATTTGGTGAAAACCTGTTAAAAGAAAGAAAGAACTCCTTTTTCATTACTCCACTCATGCTTCTACAAAATAAATTTGACCTCTCTGAGGTCATCTAAAAAGCTAAACTTGTACTTATTTTGTTTCCAACTTTAAAAGCTTTCTGCTTATACATTCAGCAATGTACTTTTCTGCCGTGTTTTTTTTTTTTTTTTCTCTGCTGTTTAAAGTGTGAAAAGTCACTCCAAAGAAAAATAAACTTTCTTTGTTTGCTTCTTGTAAGATCCACAAAGAACAGTTTAAGGACTTATATTTGAAAGGAGTCTTAAAATTTTGAACACAAAATGTTTTCCTGAAGTTTAAACACAATGATATATACGATTAAAGACACTGTAAATATTCTTTTCTATTTCAAGATATAATGCCTGCTCTTCATTACTCACTTTCTGAGGATTGTAAAATTTGATTTCATGTATTCTAATCAAAAGAAAACATTAGAAAACTGGGATTTCTGGGACCCTTATAGTGTAATCTTCCAGATATATTCTGAAGTGTTTCTACAGTGGCCAAATGTAAAGAGAAATTATATTTCTTGCATCTTAATATCTTCAGAATAAAATACAGTAAAGAGTTTGTATAGAAATACAAACAACCAAAACCAGAGAGGATTTTAAATTAAACAGAACAACATGATGTCTTTCCTGCACAGAAGAGTTTGATGTCATTGTTTTTAAGAGAAAAGTGCTTTTGATTGCAGGTATATTTTTATTCCTCTATATTAAAGAGATATAGAAGGACAAAATAAAATATATTTCAATCTGAAGTTTTAGCAGAATGAATATTTTCACTATAATCTATTGAAATACAGCTAAATCTATTGGAGTCCAGCTGAATAAAACAAGAGTCACTCTTTTTCTTGAAATTAAGTACTTCACCCACACTGGGGATGGAGATCTTAATATTTTGGTTTAATCAATGTCCCATTGAGCTTAGGAAAAAATTTCTTCCTTCACTTCATTCTTACAATTAGCCAAGAAGTTTAATGTCTCTTAATGGAACATCAAGCATCACCTCCTGCTGAATGTAAATTGACCATTTATCTTTTGCTTTTGTGGTAATTGTGTACTCATTTCCAACTCCTTCCCTCAAAATATATTACTTAATTAGTATTTATAACAATGGCTTATTTTAAGATGAGCTTCAAAGGTTTGAGAGTAATTTAATGAAATATTTCAACTGCTGACTGGTAAAGACATTATTTACTCTCCAGAAGGGATTTGTAGCCTTTATATAATTAATTTAACAAAAGGGACCAAAGGTGAGTGTGAGGTTTTCCTTAAAAGGGTTATTGGTGATATTTTACTGAAGACAGCATGTTGAGAAAACATGACTGTCTACTGGATAACAAGATTATCGCTTGCCAAATTCACCCTGTAAAGAAACAGGCATAATATTCAATAAAGGAAATGAATGTGACCACTACAGTTGCAAAGCAGATTTTGATTGCAGCAATGCTGCCTTTTTGAACAAAGTGGAATCTGAAAGGTTAGGGAGTTAAAGGTCAGAAAAATTGTAAAGTGTCAAATAAGATTAATACTAAAAAAGACTTCGTAATATATTAGGTAAGATGCAGTTTAATATTAACCCTTCTCCATGGATATTTATTTTGAATACTTTCAGCAAATTGAGGTGATGTTTTTTACGCAATGTTTGATTGAACAGAATTTTCAGACATAAAGAAAGGAGTGAAGAGCAGCAGCTCCAGGGAGGTGGTAGTGGCCCTCTAGTCCATTTTTGTGAGACCCCACCTGGAGCACTGCATCTGTGTCTGGGGGCCCCAGCATAAGAAGGACGTGGACCTGCGAGGATGAGTTCAGAGGAGAGCGATGGGGATGCTCAGAGGGCTGGAGAACCTCTGCATCGAAGGCAGGCTGGGCAGAGAATGTGTTCCAGTCGGTTTAGGGAGAGATGCCTATGCCCAAACTGAGAGGCAAATGAGACCATATGGTGAAAACATCCAGATTTTATTAACAAGAAATGTGAAAATGAGAGATGGAAAGAAATAAAAAAGAGATCTCACAGAAGGAGAAAGAGAGAAGAAGTGAATCTGTTGGAACTAGATGGTCTTTGAGATCCTGCCCAAACAAAATAATACTGTCATGCCAGAGGATGTGCATTTTACCTTGATAGTACTGTAATAATAATAATATTAATTTGCTAGTACTACAATTTTGTCTTCTTCTTTTTCTTCTCCATCTCCTTCTTCTTAATATTTACTTCTATTACTTTTATCTTCTACATCAACTTACTCTTTTTCTTTTTTATTCTTATTCCTTTTCTTATCCCTATTCTTATTCTCATTCGTATTCTTTTTTTTCTTTTAATTCTTGTTCTTATTCCCATTCTTTTCCTTATTAATTTCTTTCTTTTTCTTCTTCTTATCCTTCTATGTCTTCTTCTCCTTCTCCTTCTTCTTACTCCTAGTATTTGCTTCTATTATTTTATCTTCTACATCAACTTAATATTTTTTCTTTTTTCTTATATCTTTTCCTATTTCTATTCTTATTCTCATTCTCATTCTTATTCTTTGTTTTATTTTTCTTGCTTTAATTCTTATTCCTATTCTTTTTTCTTTTTCTTTTTTTCTACTTCTTCTTCTTATCCTTCTATTCTTCTCCTCTCCTCCTTCTCCTTCTCCTTCTCCTTCTCCTTCTCCTTCTCCTTCTCCTTCTCCTTCTCCTTCTCCTTCTCCTTCTCCTTCTCCTTCTCCTTCTCCTTCTCCTTCTCCTTCTCCTTCTCCTTCTCCTTCTCCTTCTCCTTCTCCTTCTCCTTCTCCTTCTCCTTCTCCTTCTCCTTCTCCTTCTCCTTCTCCTTCTCCTTCTCCTTCTCCTTCTCCTTCTCCTTCTCCTTCTCCTTCTCCTTCTCCTTCTCCTCCTCCTTCTCCTCCTCCTCCTCCTCCTCCTACTCCTCCTCCTTCTCCTCCTTCTCCTCCTGCGCCTCCCCCGCCTGCCCCTCCCCCTCCCCCTCCCCCTCCTCCTCCTCCTCCTCCTCCTCCTCCTCCTCCTCCTCCTTCTCCTCCTCCTTCTCCTTCTCCTTCTCCTTCTCCTTCTCCTTCTCCTTCTCCTTCTCCTTCTCCTTCTCCTTCTCCTTCTCCTTCTCCTTCTCCTTCTCCTTCTCCTTCTCCTTCTCCTTCCTCTTAGTATTTACTTCTACTAGTATTTTATCTTCTGTATCATCTTATTCTTTTTCTTTTATCTTTTTCTTATTCCTTTTTATTCCTATCCTATTCCTATTCCTATTCTACTCCTATTCCTATTCCTATTCCTATTCCTATTCCTATTCCTATTCCTATTCCTATTCCTATTCCTATTCCTATTCCTATTCCTATTCCTATTCCTATTCCTTTTTATTCTCATTTTAATTCTTACTCCTATTCTTTTCTTATTCTTTTCCTTATTCTTTATTTTTAATTTCCTATCCATATGGTTTTCATCAGCAGCAGGCCCTAATCCTCGGGCTGCGGTGCCAGGCATGGGAAGCAGAAGAGGCTGCGCAGCGCCCGCAGCGCCGGCGGTCTCCTTGCCTTTGGCACCTGCTCCTGGAAGTCAGGAGAGGCCGCATGTCCTCCGGGGGCCGGGTCTTCCCCGTGGGGAGATGAGGCACAGAGCGGCCCTCCCAGGCACGGCCCAGATGCCCCAAGCTCAACCCAAGCCTCGCGAGGGAGGGGCACGAAGAACCTGCCTCCTGCCAGACCTGCCGCTATTCGCTCTCTGTCTTCATCTTCACGCAGCTCGATGACGCTTCTCTCATCCCAGTCATCGTCCTCTTGCAGCAAGGGCTTGGCCCTGGTTCTCTCTTCCCAGCTGTCCTGCACAAGGTCTCTGTCACCGTCACTCTCCCAGCTGGACTCCACGGAGGGTCTCCTACCATTCCCTCCGGACAACTCCTGGCCAATGGACTCTTCCCAATCCGACACTTCTTGGCAGCCTACAACATCTCCAAGGAACAGCTCATGCCCGCTGTCTTCTTCCCAGTCAGACAGATTGTGGGAGCCAACAACTTGCCTTTGGTTCTCCTTGGATACTTTGATTCTGCCTTTGGATACTTCTTGGTAGCTCCCAACATCACCACCATGGGACAGCTCTTTCTTGACACGTTCATCACAACTGGAGAGCTCGTGGTAGCTACCAACTTCTTCTAGGGAGAGCTCCTGCTCATTGCAGGCTTCCCCTTGGGGCCCTTCATCGTAGCTGCCGGTTTCTTCTGGAAACAGCTCCTGATCAATGCTGTGAAGACAGCATTGGAACTCTTCCTGGTAGCTACCAGATTCTGCTGAGGACAGTTCCTGTTCAGTACTGGCTTCCCCTTGGGACCCTTCCTGGTGGCTACCAGATTCTGCTGAGGACATCTCCTGCTCAGTGCTCGCTTCCCCTTGGGACCTTTCCTGGTGGCTACCAGATTCTGCTGAGGACATCTCCTGCTCAGTGCTCGCTTCCCCTTGGGACCCTTCCTGGTGGCTACCAGATTCTGCTGGGGACATCTCCTGCTCAGTGCTCGCTTCCCCTTGGGACCCTTCCTGGTATGTAGTGGCTTCTTCCTGGGGAAATTCCTGCTCAGTGCAGGGTTCCTCTGTGAGCCCTTTCTGGTAGGTCCTGGATTCTACTTGGGGCACCTCTTTCTCGGTGCTGGCTTCCTCTTGGGATTTGTCCTGGTACCTATTGGATTCTGCTTGGGGCAGTTCTTGCTCACTGTAGGCTTTCCCTTGGGACCCTTCCTGGTAGCTACTGGCTTCTTTTAGGGAAAGCTCCTGCTCAGTACAGACTTCCCCTTGGGACCCTTCTTGGTATTTGTTGATTTCCCCTTGGGACAGCTCTGTGTGTTCCTCATCTTTGCACTGAGAATGCTCAAGCTCCCCAGCCAAGGCCCCCTCCTTGATCTCGTCCTCTGCCAAGCCTGACCCCCATTCTGCCTCCTCCTGCTGCTTCCTGAGCGCCTGGGCTCCCAGCGGGCTGGGTGAGGGGCTGGGGGGGCAGCAGGGGCTGTGTGGGGCAGAGCTCAGGCTCTGTTCCCTTTGTCCTGGAGCTGCTGCTTCCAGTTCTGCAGCCACGCTTTGCTCCAGGTCCTCCTGTTCCTCTGGCTGCTGGCCAGATGCCTGGGCCTCAGGCACAGCCCTGAGCACCACCTCAGAGCTGATGTGCCCCCCTAAGCCCAGCAGAGCCGGGCTGCAGCCTGGGGGGCTGAGTGGGGCAGGGACTGGGCTCTCTGTCCCTGCCGATGGCAGCTCATCACTGCCAGCAGGAGAACCTGGTGCTTTTTCCACCTCGGGAGCCAGATGCTCCAGGGACTCCTCCAGCTCCTCAGCAGCTCCAGCTGGAACTGCAGCAGCTGCCAGCTCATCCTCTGTGGGACTCCCCAGGGCAGGAGCACTGGGCAGCTCCCAGGCTGCCTCTGCTGCCACCTGGGTGCCCACACTGCTGGGAGAGCCAGGCCCCTGCTGGGCACAAGTCTGGGTGTCCTTGTCCTTCTCTGGGTGTAAGGGTTTGTCATGGATCTGGTACCTGGCACTTTCTCCCCAGTGAGACAGGCCCTGGCTGCTGATACTTTCTTCCCTTTGGGAAAGATTTTGGTTGCTCCCATCTTTTTCCCACTGGGGCAGCTGCTGGACATTGTAATCTTTTGCTTGGGTTAGCTCGTTTTCCCTGTTGTCTGCCACTTGGGACAACTCTGGCTCTCTCTGGTCTCCTTCCCCTTGGTGCATGTGCAGATGAACTTGTACATCTTCTTTCAAAGGATACAGTTCCTGATATCCTTCCACTTCCAGCTGGGACAGCTCTTGGTGTGTCTCACCCTCCTTGTCCCATTGGGAGAGGCCCCAGTGGAACATCTCCAGCTCTCGCTGTGCGCCATCTCCCCTCTGGACTCTCACACCTACCTCGCACTGATGCCACTCGTGGCGTCTCACAACTCCACATGGGGAAACTTCCTCGACTGTCACTTCTTCTTGCTGTTGGTAAAACTCTTGGACTGTCACCTCTTCCTGAAGGCCGAGGTCTTGGCTGGTAACCTCTCCCTGTTGGGAGAGCTCTCGGTCCCTTTCGCATTCCCACTCTTCTTCCATACCGGCAGAGGCTCCCTCCTCCTGGAGTCTGGCGGCAGCCTGAGGTGCTGCCTGCTGAGGCCTGGCCTGTCAGCCGCTGGGCAGGGCTGGGTGCTGAGCTGGGGTCACCTCGTCCTCCTGGGCCGGGCTGGGGTCACCTCGTCCCCCTGGGCCGGGCTGGGGTCACCTCGTCCCCCTGGGCCGGGCTGGGGTCACCTCGTCCCCCTGGGCAGGGCTGGGGTCACCTCTCCTCCTCCGTGAGGGATCTGCTGGAGCTCAGAGTGGGATCCCGGGAGCTGCTCCTCCTGAGCGAGCGGCTCTGCTGGGCCTGGGCAGCGCCGGCCCGGTTGCCCTGACACGGCCCTGCAGGGACGGCCCTGCCATGTCACAGGCCCCGGCCCCGCGGTGCCCCACGTCACCAGGCCCTGGCACAGCGCCGGTGTCACAAAGGGCCACGCCTGGCACCTGCAGCAGCCAAAGCCTCTGAAGGGGCAGGAGCAGCCCCTGGCTTGTTGTGATCCACTTATTAAAATGATCAGAAACACCTCTGCCTGAATTAGGGTGCAAACGAGGCCATAGGCCAAAGTCAATAGTACTGGTTTTATTCAACAAGAAATGAGAAAGACAGAGAGAGAGAGATAGAAATAGAAAAGAGGTGAGGGGAGAGAAAGCCTCTGGGTCTGTTTTATCCCTTTGCCTCAGGAGCAGGTACCTGCCCTGGAGGGGATAAGTTGGGCACAGCCCTTGCAGCAGCCTCTGGGTCTGTTTTATCCCTTTGCCCCAGGATCAGTGTGGTGCTGCAGGGTCTCACAATGAGTCTGGGCAGCGCTTTGGGCTGTCTGGTGGGTTCTGGCCCCTCCTCAGCTGCCCTCCCAGCCCCAGCCTGGCTCCAGCTGCTTTTCAGGACAGCTGCTGGTTTGGCTTTCTTGTGATCCATTCTCCTGCCTTGGTCTTGTTTCCTTGTCCCCAGACCAGAGGTGACTGAAGAACAGTGTCACCTTTATTGTACCTCAGGCCCTGTTGGGCAGCTCAAGTCCCAGCCCAAAGCTGCAGTCAGGTGAAGGACGGGTGGGCTTGGGTGGTCCCAGCCTCTTTATTCACTTTAGCCACAATGGGCAGAACTCCCTCCTAGCAATGTTTAAGCTATTACCTGTAACATTTCTGTCTGACACCCAGATACATGTATGTTTATCTCATACCCCACTCAGGAATTGAACAGAGGGACAGGTTTGTTACACGATAAGAAAGGAGTGCAGTTTTTGAAAGTGTAGAAATGAGATTAAATTTTCTTGTGCGCATCACTTAATACAAGACTATAAGATCCAGCTACCACCTAGAACTCCTTCCAAATATTTATCTTTCTGCATACTGTCATTCCCACCAGTACCATTTCCTCTAGAGGTGCAATGTTATTGACTGTGGTAAGCTGGACAAGAGCACTTTTCTTAGCTGATTTGTCCCACTTCAGCACTGAGCAATTTGGTGTAATGAAAGAAAGAAAATGCACCTGCAGCCAGTGTTCCTTGCAGCATTATATGCCTTTTAATCACATATTATGGCTTAACAGAGGACTGCAAAGTCATCAGCACAAAAGAAATACAGACCTGAAGGCAAGATTAAAGCAATTACACATATCTAACAGTCGATATGTGCCACAATTTTTCCATGGGCCAGACACTAGGATTTGAGTCATAGGGTGAATTTATATACTGGGATGAGGGGGTGGTGAGGGAAGAAGGATAACACAGGGAATTGGTCAAGGCTACAGAAAGAATGATTAAGAAATTTAAGGCAAAGGAAGGCAGGGACAGAAATCAGAGGTAGTTAGAAATGACACACTAATTGAGATAAGGGATTGAGATAAGGGATCATTTAACTGGACCAAGAGATGACACAAAAATAAAAGAGTGATAGTTATGTTAGGCAGGCATAGATAGGCACACACAGAGTTATGTTAGGCAGGCATAAATAGGCACACACAGCTGTGCTCCCCCACATCTCCTACTTTATTAAAAAAAAAAAAAAAAAAAGAAAAAGAGATAAACCAGTTTTAAAACTAACATGAATACTAGCAATTCTATTACCCAGATATTGTATAAGAAAACATGCTGGTCTGAAAGAGAAATAACCCATTGCTCTTCAGTCCAGATACAGTCCGTGTGGGTAGGGAGCTAGCAAGTCACGAGCTGTAACAATCTTTGCAAACTCATTTGCAAAATGTGCCAAGCTCTGGCTGCCTGCACTTTAAACAGCAGGTCATCTTTGTTTCTGGTAACAGAAGTACCTGTAGTGTACCTCAGGAGCCTTTTTGCTTGTTTGACTGGATTTGTCTTTCTATAACTCCATATCAACAAGTAAGACATCTGTCTGGGAATTAATCCAGTGTTTTTGATTAAACATCATTGTTTGTTTTTTCCATCCTCATTCATATTCCATCCTGGTTTTAGAAGAGGAAAACCAAAACTCATGGCAGAAACCACCCAAATGTTAATGAACTCTAAACAGCCAACCTTTCATGTCACTTAGCAATGTAGATAAGTATTAGATGCAATATAAGTTATATTTAACTGTTTTATTAAGATTTTTACCTGTGAAAGCATATTGAAAAAGGCACGTGCTAAGACTGTTGTCTCTTCTGTAATTAATTACCTGAGTGAAACCGCCAAAAGGCCTGACAATTCCCAAATAGGATATGACCCCTATTTGGACTATGAATGTTCTCTAGGATTAAATAATTTGTGGGCCATATCATCTGAAGCAGTCTCATTTTCCATACCTTCACTATGGCCAGTGGAGCTAGGACAATTTACAAGGGTGGAAGAACTGACCTGATGTCAATGTGGTAGATAAAATGATACTTTATTCTCATTATCCTCAGTGTCAGCACATATGGCACTTCTATGTGATACAATTCCCTTAACACACAGCAAATATTTACTCAGCTCCTCTTGTTGCTTGAGCTGGACCATGAGTGACCAGCTGCCATCATCAATCAATTCATCAAGTGTAAGGTTTTGACCTGTACTTTATAAAAGCCCCTGATTGAATAGGATTGAATAGGTTTCTTCATGAGACAGTGCCCAAATTCAACAGAATGATGATTCTTATGTCACTTGTAGCAGTATTTTCACTCGGCAGCAATATTTTATACTCTTTGGGTAAACCACTGGTGGTATGAATCCTGTTAGGAATTTCAATTTATTTCGGAGGGAGGAGGAGGGCTGAAGGATACCTTTATGGTATGGAGACTCTGAATGCTTTTGAATGTTGGTATAGAAAGTATGAATACTTCCATTTCTATTTGAAATAAATACCAAATGACAAATATACCAAGGTGCTTGATACGCAATATAAGATGTAAGACCCTCCATTCTGATCACAGTAATAAAGGCTATTCTGAAATCCAGAAGTCTCATACCTTGAAAAATTAATTCTCTGAGTTTTGTTTTATAAAACATATATAATTCAATGACACTGGATGGTAAAACTACAGTGGCAAATTACAAGAGTTATGAAAAATTCTCTTTGAAGCTAATATCAAATCATCAAAAAAATTGAATACTCCTGACCCTTTCTCCAAAGTGTAAATTACCAGCCTAATGGTAATATTCAAATGTAAGCTCCTTTTGATGAAAATAATATAGGAAAGTGCTTCCCTACTGTGAATCATCCTAACATGAGAAATAGAGTTTGGGTACTGTGATCTCTGCAAAGGGCACAGCAAGCTGGCAAATATGGAAATAAAAGATGAAAGCAATTTTGTGCATCTCTTGCCAATGTTTTATTCCCTTTTTAGTTATTATATAAAATCCAAATATCTCAAAGCCCTTCTCTATGTTGCTATAAAAAACAAATTACTTGCCTAACCAATTAAATGTTTTTATACAAAAGACTGTAGTGATGAATGTAAAGTATGAAATATATGGACCATGTTTAAGAATGTTTCTTATAAATATTTTCATCTATCATTAATAGGTGATTTTACTGACATTATTATTTACATAAAAAAAGAAAAATGGCAGTGATTTGAAATAGTATTATTAAAAATGTGTAGATACGTAAAATATTTTCTTCTATAATTGTATATTTTAGGAACAGAGCTTTTAAGAATTCTTCAGCATACAGAAGGCAGAGTTTTTGATTTTTCACACCCAACTAAGACCACTCGGGGCAAAGGCTGTATAGCCTAAAATTCCTCAGTGCTGGAAAATCCCCTTTTCACTACTAAAAGCTTTATTGTATTGTGCTAGTTACTTTAGCTTTTTTTGTGATGGAAAGTAGACTACTTGTTGCCATGTGTTAATACCCTTAAAATCGTTTCCATGTATAAACAGACAGCTGTGCCCTTCCCATCATTAATTTTGCTTGCTTCCTTTCATTCACTTTTGGTGGACACATCTACTAAAAATGTATACTTTTAATCAAATGTTGACCCAGGTTGCTTTTTGAGATTGCTGATAAGATTGAAAATAATTGCAATAAACAAAAAATGGATAATCATGCTACATTTTTATCTTGACAATTCCAAGTGAGAGGTGAGAGCATTCTTGGTGATTCATTTAATTACTTCTGCAGAATCTTTATCTGATTTGAAAGCTCCTCTCCTGAGGACAGATCTTTCACCCACGTATGACTAGTACTCAGAAGTACTCCTGAAATCAAGGATGTTCTGCTTTGGACTAAAACTCAGTTTGCTATTGCTAATAATTATTAAATTACCCTAAAGACATCTTAGAGTAAAATGGGCTGCTAAAAATGAGAGTTTACAATGATCAATAGAATTTGTATTGGTTGCTATTAAAAGCTATTTTATAGCTTTTTAAATCTGCCGCTTTCTTTAGCCTGATATATTTCTTAGAGTAGCATATTTGGATACATGACTGTAATTAGCTGAGGGCTCTGATTCACAATAAAAGTTGAGAATTTGGAGCCAAAAGACAAAAAAAATTGCTTAACAAAGAACTTGAACTTGGAATCAACCTTAGACTTTGGTCATTGGCAAATGTAAGTAACCTAAGGTAGCTATGGAATTACACTGCTATTTCTCCTCTTCAGCTAATATTGTTGCTCTCATGGTTGATATATTCCAAATAAACTGCTTTGGTAGTCCAGCACTTACTAAGTATGGTAGGAGCTCTAAAGGACCTCCTTAATTACAGTTGAGAAC